GATTGGGCACAAGTTATCCAACTTAGAAAAGCCCTCTCCGGATAATTACACAATTCATCTTACAACAAAGTACACAAGTGACAGACATAGGCTAGGATACGTACAACAGACTGACTGACTGAGAAGCGTTTTGTTGAGAGATATGTACATATTTGAAAACATTCTGGTTTTCAGTGATTGAGAGACCTGCATTGCCATGTAAGATAAGATAAATATCAATCAGTGTTCTATTTTTGACAATATGTTCTAAAGATTTTAACAGTTTATGTCTTTGAATGCGTCATTTTTCACGTTTATTCTATATAAATCATAATTAAGTGTACTCGTCATATATCTTAATCTAGTGTGCATAACATTGAACTTCCTTATTCCATATGAATAATATATAGGTGCGCATTTTTCCTTCACGTGGATATAAGATTTAAACGATGCAACAGAGTCGCAATTTCTAATAGCTAAGGGAATATTATTCCACACTTGAACTTTTGATGGAATAAAAGATGACGTTGAGATGACGTTGAGATGACGTTGAGTACCTCAGTCTTGTATATGGTTGACTAAAGTTATTGGAGTGTCTTAACTCATAAATTGTCTGGTTGCCTACTACATGTGGGAATAAATCCTGAAGAAAAAACTGGTGTCAGACCTTTTTGAATTATAAAATAATGTTAATTTGCGTCTTCTCCTTCTCTCAGAAAGTAAATCCCATCCCGTTTCATAATACAATGAACTGGCAGATGCATATCTTGGAAGACATGGAGATAACATGAACATAGGTTATCATTAACAATGAGTATTACTGACACGGAGATAACATGGACATTGGGTATTACGAACACTGAGGTATCATGGACATTGGGTATTACGGATACGGAGGTACCATGGACATGGAGCTTTCGTAGGCATAGTATCACATGGACACAGAGGCATCGTATCATGGACATGGGATATCGTGGACATTGGGTATTACGGACATGAAAGCATCACGGAAATGAGGGTATCATTGACATGGTAGTATCATGGAAATGAAGGTATCATTGACATGGTAGTATCACGGAAATGAGGGTATCATTGACATGGTAGTAACATGGAAATGAAGGTATCATTGACATGGTAGTAACATGGAAATGAAGGTATCATTGACATGGTAGTATCATGGAAATGAAGGTATCATTGACATGGTAGTATCATGGAAATAAAGGTATCATTGACATGGTAGTATCATGGAAATGAGGATATCATTGACATGGTAGTATCATGGAAATGAAGGTATCATTGACATGGTAGTATCATGGAAATAAAGGTATCATTGACATGGTAGTATCATGGAAATGAAGGTATCATTGACATGGTAGTATCATGGAAATGAAGGTATCATGGAAATGAGGATATCATTGATATGGTAGTATCACGAAAATGAAAGTATCATTGACATGGTAGTATCATGGAAATGAAGGTATCATTGACATGGTAGTATCATGGAAATGAAGGTATCATTGACATGGTAGTATCATGGAAATAAAGGTATCATTGACATGGTAGTATCATGGAAATGAAGGTATCATTGACATGGTAGTATCATGGAAATGAAGGTATCATTGACATGGTAGTATCATGGAAATGAAGGTATCATTGACATGGTAGTATCATGGAAATGAAGGTATCATTGACATGGTAGTATCATGGAAATGAAGGTATCATTGACATGGTAGTATCATGGAAATGAAGGTATCATTGACATGGTAGTATCATGGAAATGAAGGTATCATTGACATGGTAGTATGATTGACATGAGGATATCATTGACATGGTAGTATGATGGAAATGAAGGTATCATTGACATGGTAGTATCATGGAAATGAAGGTATCATTGACATGGTAGTATCATGGAAATGAAAGGTATCATTGACATGGTAGTATCATGGAAATGAAGGTATCATTGACATGGTAGTATCATGGAAATGAAGGTATCATTGACATGGTAGTATCATGGAAATGAAGGTATCATTGACATGGTAGTATCATGGAAATGAAGGTATCATTGACATGGTAGTATCATGGAAATGAAGGTATCATTGACATGGTAGTATCATGGAAATGAAGATATCATTGACATGGTAGTGTCATGGAAATGAAGGTATCATTGACATGGTAGTATCACGGAAATGAAGGTATCATTGACATGGTAGTATCATGGGGACACATGAAGTTTCACAAACTGACCATATTGGAGATCGAACCGGCTCTGTGCCGCGACGAATCAACGCAGTAACCACCAACTCTCTGTTTGACCTATAAAACGTAATGTTAACCGATGAATGGTTTGAGGTTAGGTATTCGGTATTTTCCACACTCTGATCTTTAAAACAGCACCAAACCCACCCTCATTCCCGCATAGATATGGCTGTATAGTGAAAAGAGTAACGTTATTCAGTAGTGTTGTGTTAAATGTTATTGTTGCATAACATATGTTTACAAAGCTAAACAAACGTGAATAACACCGTTCTTTGTTGAAGTGAGACCAGCACTGCCCATTTTACGTTTGTATTTGTAAGCAACCGTTGACCAAACTGGATAAGTAGCAGCATAGTTTCGTTACGACAGTGACAGTTATGTTGTTAGGAGGTTGTTTTGCTGATGGTTAGATTTATATCAGGGCTATTATATTAGATAATCAGGGCTCTTTATTAGAGGTCATGCGGGGAGAGGCGGGCAAGGTCGGTGATTCATTTATACATGTTTACCGCTGTTTACCTTTCACGCCACAAGGAATCGACACTGGTTCTTCTCTGGCCTTGACCTTTTATGTTTGGATTTATATGACGTCACACAAACTAGTCACCCTGTATAAGTGAATAATAAATTATATTCTCACTCTACTCCACTACACTACACGACACGACACGACCGACAACACACTACACTACACAACACTATAGTCCGTTTGCAGTGAAAACGTACCGATGAATTTCACTTTAAACAAAACAGTCAATCAAATAAAGTGAAATTTTAATTGCGAATCCTCATAACTTTACCTTGCCAATTGAACATTAAAATCTCAGTATTTTATTCAACTTAGAATAAAAGTTGTTTAACAAACGATCATAGGTTCAAATCGCTATTATTGGTTTGTAATACAAGGGGGTATGCACATTAAATGAAACCTCGAGAACAAGAAGGGTTGGTTTCTACTGTAGCCTAAGTTAACGCTCATCACGAACCGCACGTGCATTTGTCACTGTTCCAACTACTGCGCCTACCCCCTTGTAATACAAACCAAAAATAGCGATTTGAAACTATGATCGTTTGTTAAACAACTTTTATCCTACGCTAAATAAAACACTGAGATTTAAATGTTCAATTGGCAAGGTAAAATTATTATGATTCGCAATCTTAATTTCACTTTATTTGATTTCCTTTTTTGTTTAAAGTGAAATTCATCGGTACGTTTTCACTACAAACAGACACGGCACGGCACGGCACGGCACCTTCCCACGCCACGCCACGCCACGCCACCCCACCCCACCCCACCCAGATAGTTTAATGATGCTCTAAATTAGTCGAATTAAGTCTAAATGATTTAAATGCTGTGTCATGATATTTATGAACATACTTTCATCCATTTCAACCTCCAAAACATGAATAGAAAAATATATGTAGAGCAAAAGTAAATAGTCTCGCCCATTGGCCGACCCATTATACATATTACATTGTCATGAATACATTGCATAAATCTGTATTTCCATGAATACATTGTATGATTCTGTATCATCATGGTTACATTCCATAAATATGTATTGACATGTATTATACAAATTATATTATTCTGCATTGTCAAGCATACATTGTATGAATCTGTATTGTCATGTCGAATGAATTGTATGATTCAGTATCGTAATGTACAGACTGTATTATGTTGTGCTGTATGCAGTATCTGATTCTCCTTTGCAATTTGCATGTCATTTCCTCCCTTTTTCATTAAGTGATTGTGTACAAACTGTCTCATATAAGCAAAGTCGGTACATATCCGCCTTATACAGAATGTGTGTAGATCATCCGTGGATGGCGTGATCAATGTCCGGGTTCTGACAGACTAAGTAGCTCGGTAAAATACATCAAGATGATATATGTTTAGTATATTAACATTTCAAGTAATGTGAGTATCAGGTCGGTCAAATAGAGCCAACTTTCGATGATGACGCCTTACATGAACGTACCCCCGAGTCGGATGACAGAACATCTTACTGTCAACCAGTTTCATTTCATTACGTGATTAGCTAAATGTTGTTGGGATGTCATTGGGTTATTTATGGCCTGCGGAAAATCATTATTGATTGATTAAATTTGGAAAAAACGTAATCAGCGTGGATTGTCATTCCTGCTTTCAATCACTGATTTAAATGGCACTGTTCCGATTACTCACTGGGTGTAATGTTTGAGCTGAAATATTGCTGAAGGCAGCATCAACAAATACGGTTCATCCAAATCATTCTGGTTATTCCATATACACTCAATACAATTACCGTTAAACGGAGAGATTAATAACTGAAATCAATTATGCCATGCCAATGCAATGTTCCTGAAATCAGTATCTCTGATGTAAAAGCGAGGCCCGTGTTATGATCAAAACGGGTTTCTTCAAGAATCATACGATCTTTTAGATTTCTCCGTAGAAAGCATATGCTCGATTGTAATTCAATAGTCGTGACAGCTGAATACTGGAAAGATGAAATGAAGAGATTGTGGTCACTCTGAATCTTATGCATATATAGGAATATGGTACAGATGATGCGGTTTTACTCTTCATTGTATCCCAGTTGCGTAGCTCAATGTTCATGATGTTGATCACTAGACTGTCTGGACCATGCTCAATAATTTACAGACAGCCGCCATTTAGCTGGAATACCGAGTGCAGCGTAAACAAATAAAACTAACAAACTATATCTGGTTCAGTGCCTCCTGTCACAAAGCACTAAGGTGATCTTAAATCACTATTAAGGTAATCATATTGTAATGTTATAGAATGGGAGTAAAGGTTAACCTTAGTAAAGGTTGCTTCGTGACACGAGCCCCTGATGGATAAATCTGGAGAAGCGATCTGACTATTTGACAATTTTTACACGATATCCGATCAGCGACATACTTGAGGCTTAAGTTATGCCGAATTTCCTTCAGTTGGATTTTGAAAATCTAAGCAGAAATTCAGCACGTTATTACAAAAAAACACATTCAATTTAATGGAATTAGTCATAACAAAATACGCTTATTAGTGTAAGGTCAAGCTGCAGGCTTTGCTCTTCACATATTTGTCGAGGCTGGAAACTGTCAAAAAAAACCAGAACTAACATCATTTCCTGTACTTTGCATTTTCAAGGAGACAACCTAACGGACCTTAAATTTCCTGACTAGACGCAGATAATTGATAGCATTCATTGAAATTCAGTTCACGTTTTCCATACCGGAACAAACGTTTAAAAGGTTGTTTAAGTGCTTCGACTGCTGAATGAGAGGACTTACCACGTGGGTTGTTAGAGTTGGCGGATCGGAAAAACGCAAGATTCAAATGCACATCAAATACTTTCCTGCGTAGGAAATATTGCCTGACAAGAAAATAATGTTAGATAATATGTTTGTTACAATAAAACATACAAAGCCATTTAAGGTGTATTTTTACGTCCTTGATTATCAAGGTCTAGGGCGTTGTTTTATTCCTTGGTATGTCTGTATTGAAAAATAGAACAAAAGACATTCAAAGAATCTTTCGTGTGAAGGATGCGCGCCCGCCATCTTCGAAGTTCAAGGTTACACTAGTGTCTGCCTTACAAGAATCGTACGACTGTGTAGGTCACGTAGTCGACTATACAGTATATAATATCTTAAATCCTGGATCAATCATATCCCCATAGCTTCAGCTTCAGACATCACCACCTCTATCGGCCCAATGTCTGGTCTCGTCTGTCAGTAGTAGTAAATGTGGAGGCTTTGTTCAGTGTCGTGGTATCTGATGGGGCTTGACAAGAAGCAGTGATGGTATATATGTCCGTGGTATTTAATATCATAGAATCAAGTCTTAGATATAATACCATGGACATCCGAGGAGGAGTCAGTGACAAAAACAATTCAAAGTCTTGCACATATTTAAGTGTTACCTTGTAGAGTGAGTTAGTGAGTTTAGCTTTAGCAATATTCCAGCAATATTACGGCGGGGGACACCAGAAATGGACTTCACACATTTACCCATGTGGGGAATCGAACCCGGGTCTTCCACGTAACGAGCGAACATTTGAACTAGACTACCCCACCGCCCCTTGCATCAAAAGAAGTTCAACAGAAGGAAAATAACAGATATGGTATTACCTTTGTAATTGAAACTGCAAAAATATTCAGGAAGTATAATAATCATTCATCACAAATAATGATCATATGTTAAATATATGATGTTACCAGGATGTGTGTTTGGTTAAGACCTAAGATTGAAGAATATGTTCGGAATACTATAGACCCCGACTTGATATACCAGCTGGGTACAGGTGTGGTTTTGGTATCCTATGATGCTAACTTACTAATTGCTACTAAACCATTTTAACATATTGTTAATTGATTGGTAATTGTGTGTTCGAGTTGAGAAAGACATCACACTGTTTTTCATAACAGGTTCCCAGTATGTCCCAGTACAACAAATACTATGGTTCAGCATCTTTCCCTTTGATGATAAAGTGTTGCTCATGCTTCCATCATTAGTTTACTTGGCGGGGAAATGATTAATATTACAGAGCATCGACAACTAGTCTGAATATTGCATTAGCTATAGATATTAGATATATTGGTTCTCATCCACCGACTATCAGGCTAAAACTCCTCAGCAATCGTTAAGAACCGTCACCGGTCAAGTCGACCATGAGTGACAGCTCCTAGAGAGGATGTAACCCTTCTCACAATCACAACACTTCATCCGTTCATGTGAAGTGTCGCGTTAAAAACACAGTGGTTAAACGGCCGGGTATAGAGCCAGACGACCTATCTGACGCCCGTCGTTATCTCTAGAGCACACAACAGCACGATTAGCTTGGTGTCAAGCTCAACGTCACTGGACGTCATGGCAAAGGGTCCGCTGGTAGGACGATGTCCATTTCTATCCACAACGGGCTATCTTGAAGCAAGTACCCTGTGGCGGTGGTTCACTGATTGTGTAGGGGTACATCTAACATGATTGTAAACTTCACCTTGTGTGGACAACGGTACATCACTGATATCCTGGACAGGGTTGCTGGACCACATCCTGGACAGGGCTGTTGCACCAGCCTTCATGGATGACAATACTAGGCCACATCATGCACATAAGAGAGTGAGAGAGAGTTTATTCGCATAATGGCCTCATGGCCCACAAAAAAATACAAAAAAATACAAAAAAATACAAAAAATACATATTTTTTTGTTTGTGCGCATTCAATACATAAACATAAATATAGTACATGTACATCAATATAGCAGTCAAACAGTTAGATTTCTCTTCAGATAGATTGCTAGACTTTTAATAACATGCACATTTATGGTGCATAACAACTGCTCAAACTTAAAGACTAATGGATGTATATGATAATATCCAGGTATAAACTTCATCCGACTTGTATGGTAATAAAGACATACTAATAAAAAGTGGTATTCGTCTTCTACGACAACTAAATGACACTTGATACATTTTGTTATAGTATTATCGACATTGTCTTATTGTAACGCAACTGTTAGACACCCAATTTGTGCGATAAGCAACGAAATTTACATAAAATACGCCTCAAGTCTCTATTAGTGTACAACGCAGTTATATACACTTCTGTTTCCAAAACTGACTTGTACAATGAATAAACTTTAAGAAAGGAACTACTACCAATATCACTGCTCCTAGTTTGGAAACATATATCCTTGCAGCGTTGCTTAAACGTTGTCATAAATACATCTACGTCGCCATAGTCTTGTGTAATCCACACAAAAGAAAATCCAAACTTAAACAATAGTGAACGAACATGAGAAACCCAGTTAACATTTCCATTTTCGTCAAAGACTTTAAGCATTTCATAACAAGCTCGAGGATACCTATGGCTACTCATTCTCACGAGTCTACACCAGTACCTGATACAACGACTAAAATAATTAACAGCCATTTGATATCTGCCCAACTCCCCTAACACAGCTTTTGTTGACACAAATTTTCCTAAACCTAAATACTTCTTGAAGAACGAGCCCTGTAGCTTTTCAATATCTGCTCTATATGTATATCCCCAAATTTCAGCGCCATAAAGCAAAATAGGTGCTATTTTCGTGTCAAATATGTTCTTAGCCATTTCATGAGGTGCGTCATACTTTTTCAACATTTGTTTGACAGGAAAGCTCGCTTTCATTGCTGTTAACGACAGAGTTTCAGAAGCATTAGACCATAATAGCCTTGAGGAAAATATGACACCCAAATATTTATAATAGCTAACAACTTTCATTTCCTGACCATCATAAAACCATTACTCTGTACTTCTAAGATAGCCACCATTTGTAAAGACAATACTTTGAGACTTATCTAAATTCACCTCCAGACCCCATTTCAAACAAAATTTATGTAGGAAATCTAATTTTCGCTGCGGCACTACGACAGAATTATCTACCAAGGTGACATCATTGGCAAAGAGCAGCAGTAAAATGTCGTCCAGTTCCGATTTGACAAATATACCCCTTATACCACTATTTTGCATTTCCTCTACTAACTCATTAATAACATTCACATTTTTGGTGCATAACAACTGCTTAAACTTAAAGACAGATGGATGTATATGATAATATCCAGGTATAAACAGACCATACTTATTTACCACAGAGTCTTGAGTACATTTAGGAAATGAGAAATTGTCAACAGGGTATATGTCATGTAAAGGAAGAACGTCAATATCTCGGTCGTCCTCCAGAATAAAATCATCTTTATTACCAACCCTCGCATTCAGTTCACCCACTATACAGATTTCCAAGTCCGTGCCATACTCCTGCTTAAGACAGGCTACCTTGGAGTCCAGTTCTTCGATACCGTCAGTCGCTGGGTCATCATATAGAGGATACTTTTCCGGCTAGATATATACAAAACCAAGAACAAAGGGATTACAGTTCACAAGGTTAACAAGAAACAACACACTGTTCTTCCATTCTGGGTGAATTCTCGTAAATGCAGAGATATTGTCAGAGTGTATGAATACAGCAACACCCCCTGAGTATCTACCGAAACCCTTTACCCTTCGTGCCGGGGATGGAAAACTGTGAAATAAGTGTCTAATTACCTCACTGTCCTGCAGCATGGTTTCAATGAAAGCAAACACTTCAAACTGTTTACCATACACACGCATGCACGTCGTCATATGAGCGAAATATTCTCATGCACGACGTTAAACCCAATTCCACCACCACCGCCATCAAACTGTTTACAGAACAATAAAAAATCACATTCATTAAGGTGCGAGTGAATCCCTTGAATGTTCAACGAACAGATGTTTAGTACTAGACATTGCTTACTGGTGTCCTGCTCAGTGAGTCACATGTACTCAGAAACCTGCATGTCGTTCACCGAACCATGGCTGAGTCCCCATGTCGAGTTCGATTTCTCTTGCTCTGCTTCCTTGTCGGATCTTGCGTGATGGCACCAGGAACCGCCACCACTGCCCCCGGAAGGATTTCCACTAACACCCGCAGAACGAGTCCCAACTTGTTTTAGACACTCACCGTCTGGCACATAGACACGGTTTTCTATAACAAGCTCATCAAAGGACAAGTAGGCTGTTTTACCCTGTTCACGAGCCTGGACCATATGAGGAATGAGCGCAGCTCTCGCTCTCCTTGTTCTCTGTGTGTAATCATTCATCACGCGCACATCCAAGGATTCCTTAGCCTGTCAAGCAGCAGACATAAGTAACATCTTGTCCTTAAAGTTCTGAAATTTCACCAGAATTAGTTTGTTCTGTTTATTGCCGAAACGGTAAGCCTGATCGATTTGCATTTCTGATTGATTGTCAATGTTCAGTGTATCACCACATTTTCACAAAGA